ACGGCCTGCTTTACAACGTGGGCATTCTAGAGACAAAGAAAATCTCTCTGATATAATCAAAACTGTATCACAATTTTCAATACATGAAACGCTTGCTACAGGTGCTGGTCCTTGGAGCACATGCACTGTCCTATCAGCAAATGCTGTTCTGTCGTTCTTCTGGACCACCAGTCTGAAAAAATACACACGGCCGCCGTGAAGTGTTTCTGGCAAAAGTGTGAGTATAGGACCGGAGGCCCACGTCCACCTGAGATCAACCTGCTCTGGGAGACAGACTTCCTTGCTCCTCACTGTAATTTCATGTCCATCGTAGTTTCTTGGGTCTGTGGTACAGTACCAAAAAAAATGAAGTCCCTCTAAAGGGTTTCCTGCCTCTGGATCAGAGGACATATTTCCATTCAGAGTCAGTCCATCTGTGAAATTAACTGTGATGTTGGTATCCCCAGGAATAACCGCCTGCAGGGGACTTTTAACAATGATGATATAGATGGAATCTGAGTCTTTCTTCAGAGGTATCGTTGGATCATGTGTGACGATGTACACGGAGAAATTAAGCAGATACACCCCCCAAGATAAAGAATGCGCGGAGATACGTATACTTGATGGAGTGTTCTCTGACTTGAAAGGTGGGTTTTGCAAAGGTTTAGTCCAGTCCGGCTTGTCAGATACAGAGGCCACGGAATAGAGTTTCCAATACTGACCAAAGAACCTTTGGTTTGGGCAGTGGGCCTTAACCGTGGCATTGATGGTGACTTCCATCTTCCGGGTCAGCTGCAGGGGAGAATCGTCATTCCTTTCGATCCTCACCAGATCCAACACACAGACCCCCTGACGGGACACCGAGGACTCCAAGGCTTCGGAAGTGTTGGGGTTGACAGCCTCTAAGACGACAGGCGTGGGCCCGTCCGTGGGACACTTGGTTCTGGCCACTAAGCCCGCGTAGGAGCGTGGGCCGCGGGGCAGAGCCGAAAGGGGCGACACCGCCGAGCGGGGCGACACGCGGGTGGCGGCAGCGGCGGCCGTGGGGACCGTGGGCCCGAGCAGCCCGAGGCGGAAGGTCCACTCCAGACGCCCGAGGGAGCGCGGCAGGCGGGCGAGCCAGCGCAGGGAGAGCCGGCCGCCGGGCGCCGACAGCTGCAGGTCCACGTGGGCGGGCGCGGCGGCGGCGGCGGCGGCGGCGGCGGCGGCGGCGGCGGCGGCAGCGCGGCGGGCGCGCAGCAGGACGTGCGTGCGGAGGCAGCGCGGCGCCGGGCCTGTGAGCCGCCCGGTCCGCAGACAGAGGTCGCGGCCGCCGCTCAGGATGACGCCGCCGCCCGGGGCCGCGCGGGGCCATAGGCTGAAGCGGGCGCGGCCGCCGCCAACGCCGACGCCGCCACCGCCGACGCCGCGCACCCCGAGGCCCCGGGCGCCCCTGACCGAGCGCAGCACGGCCGCCTGGGTCCGCGCCGGGACGCGGACCCGGGCCTCGGGCGGGGCGCGGCGGGCCGAGGCGGGCTCCCGGCCGAGTAGGTCGCCGGACGGCGAGCCGGGCACCCTAGGGACGGTGGCGCTGGCCCCGCGAGGAGCCGGGGTCGGCGGGCGGCGGCCAGGGCCACCGCTCAGGCTCAGGCCCAGGCCCAGTAGGAGGAGCACGGGTCCCGGCCGCATGGGAGCGGAAAGTGGGAGGCGCTGCGGAGGCCGCGGACCAACGGCCACGGGGGCGCGGGCCGCGGGGTCACGGGGCGCGGGCGTGGGGGTAGGGGCTGCGGGCGGCTGGCCCGTGCCCACACCTGAGTAGGCCTCGGGTCAGGGTTGTTAGTGGGGTTCCTGTGGCGCAGTCTGCTGACCCTCCAAGGAGACCCCTAGCAGGAGCCCGCCCCCCTACACCCGGGAAAACTCATTACAAAGCGGTGGAAAGTGAGAGCTTTCGTCAGTGGGCTCCCTGAGTAGAGGGAGAGGGGGACTGCTCACTGGGTTTCTTACTTAGTTTTCCTTTTTTTAAAAAAAATTATTATTGGAGTATAGTTGCTTTACAATGTTTTGTTATTTTCTGCTGTACAGCAAAGTGAAGCAGTTATACATATATCCACTCTTTTTTAGATTCTTTTCCCATGTAGGTCATTACAGAGTACTGAGTAGAGTTCCCTGTGCTGTACAGTAGGTCCTTATTAGTTATCTATTTTATATATAGCAGTGTGTATATGTCTTTCTACTTTCTTAGGGTGAAACCCTGTGCCATTGATTCTAGATCTTCTTTTCTAATAGAAGCATTTAGTGCTGTCAGTTTCTCGCCAAACACTGCATCCAACATACTTACCATATTTTATTATCATTCAATTATAAATATTTTTTATTTCCCCTGTTTTGGTTTGACCTGTGAATTTCCAGCTATTTGGAGTTTCTGTGAAAATATTCACAGTTACTGATTTCTAATTTAATTTTGTTATGGTCAGAGAATACAATCTGTATGACTTTTATCCCTTTGAATGTATTGAGACTTGTTTGAAAGCCCATCGTGTGGTCTGAATGTATGTTACATGAAACTTTAAAAGAATGTGAAAAAAAAAGAAAAAGAAAAAAAAAGAATGTGTATTCTGTTGTTGGGTGGAGTGTTCTGTAGATGGCAGGTAGGTCAAGAGGGGTGGTAGTGTTGCTTAGATCTATGTCTTTCTGCATTTTTGTCTAGTTGTTCTATCAATTGCTGAGAGAAGACGTTAATCTCTCCTACTATAACTGTGGAATTGTCTATTTCATTCTTTAATTCTGTCAGTTTTTGCCTGTGGTATTTTGGGACTCTGTTTATTAGGTAGACACACATTTGTGGTTATATCTTCCTGATGAATTGCCCCTAGTATCATTATGAGATGTCTTTATCTCTGGTGATAATCTTTGTTTTGAAGTTTCCTTTACCTGGTATTAAAATAGCCACATTATATGTCAATTATATCTCAATAAAACTGGGGGGGGGGGATGAAGTAAAATAAAATAGCCACACTAGCCTTCTTATGCTTACTGTCTATGGACATATGTTTTTTCATTCATTTACTTTCAACTTATTTATGTCTTTATGTTTAAAGTGGTCTTTTATAGGCAACATTTAATAGAATTTTACTCTTTTATCCACTCAGTCAGTCTCTGCCTTTTAATTGAGTACTTAGACCATCAACATTTAATGTAATTACTGTCACCATTTCATGTAATTATTGATATAGTTGGATTTAGGTCTATCACCTAATTATTTGTTTTCTTATTATCCCTGATTGTCCCTTATTATCTCTGATTTTTTTCCCTTTCATTCCCCGTTAATTCATTTAGCATTAGTCATTTCACACATGTTTCTCAAGCACCTACTACATACCAGACATTTTTCTAGGCATCAGTTCTCAAGGAGCTTCCATTTTAATGGGGGTGAGAGACAATCAAAAATAACCCAGGCATGATATAACATGTATAATTTTGAGTGTGATAAGTGATATGAAGAAAAATAAGTCAGGTTAAGAGATAAGAAATGAGGATGAGATAGGGGAGTCAAGGAAGGCCTCTTGGAAGAGGCACCATCTGAGCCAGCAGATCAGCAAGAAATGAGGGAGCAAGGCTCACAAAGAGCTAGGGAGCGGGATAGCTAGCACAGAGAACTGTACGTTCAAATGCGTGGAGGCAGGAACGAGAGAGAAGGTTAGTAGTGGGGCTGGAGTGAGCAGAGAGGAGAGAAAGTGGTAGAAGATGCCGTTGGAGAGATGGCTGATGACCAGAGCAAGCTTAGCCTCAGAGCCCACGATCATACATTTGAATTTTATCTCAAGTGGGTTGGGAAGTCTTTGGAGGGTTTTGAGTAGGGAAGGGCCCTGATCTGATTTCCAGTTGGGAAGCATCCTTCTGTTGTGAGGGAGATAGACTGTAGGTGGGCAGGAATGCAAGGAGACAGGCCAATTAAGCGGGGTCCAGGGAAATCAAAGGGACAGGCCTGACTTCTGGAAGAACACTCAGTATGCAAGTGAGCTGGTCCTGACTCAGTTTAGGGTTAGTGGTGGTGGAGGTGGTGAGCAGTGGGGAATTCAGAAAAGATGCACTTGTTAATGGACTGCCTGTCAGAGGACTGACTACATGATTTTCAGCGCCCTGTGAAAAATGAACATGTGGGGACGTTGTTCAAAAACTGTTAAAGATTTCAAGATGGCAACAGCTGAGCTTTCCACCAAGCACAGGGCCCTTCTAAGTGTGAGGCCCTGTATGACTGTCCAGGTTGCACACCCATGGCCACACCCAGGGCTTGCCTACCACAGCCCCTGATCCCACTGGTGGCTCAAAGCTGCTGCCACCAGCCAACACCAGCTTCCAGGCCCAGGCCCTGCAGGGGCACAGGTCTAGGGGCCTCCAGAAGGCCCTGCTACTTGCAGGCGTGAGGGGAAGGGGAGGGAAAGTGTCACCTCACATTTTTTTGGTCTCAAAGACACTCTCCCTGTCTTACCCCTAGGTTCTGCATGACATTTTTTTTCCTTAAATTCCATATATATGTGTTAGCATACGGTATTTGTCTTTCTCTTTCTGACTTACTTCACTCTGTATGACAGACTCTAGGTCCATCCACCTCATTACAAATAGCTCAATTTCGTTTCTTTTTATAGCTGAGTAATATTCCATTGTATATATGTGCCACATCTTCTTTATCCATTCATCCGATGATGGGCACGCAGGAATAAAGACACAGACCTACTGGAGAACGGACTTGAGGATATGGGGAGGGGGAAGGGTGAGCTGTGACAAAGCGAGAGAGAGGCATGGACATATATACACTACCAAACGTAAGGTAGATAGCTAGTGGGAAGCAGCTGCATGGCACAGGGAGGTCAGCTCGGTGCTTTGTGACCGCCTTGGAGGGGTGGGATAGGGAGGGTGGGAGGGAGGGAGACGCAAGAGGGAAGAGATATGGGAACATATGTATATGTATAACTGATTCACTTTGTTATAAAGCAGAAACTAACACACCATTGTAAAGCAATTATACCCCAATAAAGATGTTAAAAAAAACACAAAAAGACACTCTCCCTACCCGCCACTCCAATCTCTGCCCTGGAGAGGGTGCAGGGCAAGGCCCGACCACAGGTCAAAATGACCTCTGTGAATGTCTGCACGCGCGCGCGTGGCTTTCGAGTGGGACACTTAGAGCTTGAAAGCGACCGCTGTCCCAGGGCTCTTCTGCCTCCCAGGGGACTCTGCAGTCGCCTCCCAGAGGGTCCCCAAAGGGAGGAATCTCCCGGCCCGCCCTCTGGCCCTTCCGCCCCAGGCTCCCAGTCTGATGGGGGAGGCGGGGGCGCACACCAAAGCTGCTCGCCTCAAGCCGACTCGGGTTCCCGCAGCCCCGGAGAAGAGAGCCGGAGGGGTCCGCCGGGGGACCCGGCCCGGAGAGGTGGGTGTGTCCGAAGCGGACCAGTGAGCGAGCGGAGAGCGGGGGCCGCCCCGCCTCGCCCCCGGGACTCGACTCCCCGCCCCCAACCCGGAAGCCCGCGGCGGCGCGCGCAGCCCGCGACCCTGACACCGACCCAGCACCATGGCCGCGACCGCGCCCCTGCGCGACTGCCAGGTACGCGGAGGCCGTCCCCGCCCGGGTTCCCCGCGGCCCCACGACCCCGGGAGTGGCGGGATCAGCCCTGCCAGGGGTCCGGCGGGGACACGGACCCCGAGAGACGGGCACGCCTTCTGGGCGCACGGAAGGGACCAGAGGACCCTACTGTGACCCCAGCCTCCGGAAAATCTGCGGCGCGGGGCCCCGCCCCGCGGAGACCCCAGGTCCTCGTAAAAAGCTTAACCCGGGCGCGACACAGCGGGGACGCTGGGCGTTAGTGAGGGTCTCCCACGGGACCCGCGGGGGCAGGGAGCCTGGACCCATTTTGCACTTGAGGAAGGGGCGTTCAGAGGAGCGAGGGGACCTACGCACAGCCACTCCGAGGAGCCGCCCGCTGGGCTGGCGGGACTAAAGGTCATTTCTCCATACCGGGGAGTCGCCTGTCTGTGCGCCCCTGGCAAGACACCGAGACAGCGATTACACTGAACAGTTCAGTTAGTTGGGGATGTTTCCTGAAGGTCTGAACTATCTGGTAAAGTGGGGAGATGAGAGGAATTGTCTTGGTGGTTGGCACCTTGCCAGCCAGGTGGCAGGACCACCCTCCTGGTTTTGCCCTCCAGCGCTAGCCCTTCTTCTGTCCTGGCAGACCTCCCTGCCGCCTGATCAGGGACTCCCCCTTACTGAGCGTCTGCTCCCTGGCAGACACTTTACAGTCACCCCATGTATCCTCCAGTGCCCCATTTCACAGAGGGGCCAGACAGGGGTCAGAGGGAGGACGTTGCCTGAGGGCACTCAGCTACTTAGAGGGCCCTGGGATTTGTGTCAGGATCTCTCCCACCCAGGCCTCAGCTCTCTCCACACTGCACCGTCTGAGAAGTCTGGGAGTCTGTGCCTGCCCCACAAGGACGGGTCTTATGGGAAGCCCATGCCTGCAGGATGACAGACATTAGCATCTTCGGTGCTTGCGGGTTGGGGATCGTGTGTGTTTGCTTGGAGGGCTACATGGAATAAGACCCCTTCTTGCTGTGTGTAGGCTTGGAAGGATGCCGGGCTCCCTCTCTCAACCCCAAGCAACGAGGCCTGCAGGCTGTTTGATGCCACCCTGACCCAGGTATGCCCGTGGAGAGGAGTGGTGGCCCCTTCTGTAACGGTCCAGGGGGAGGTTTCTTAAATTGGTGAATGGTTTTTATTTTCATTGAAAACATTTTTTTGGGTGCATCTTACAGCTGCATTTATTCGTGCCACAAGGAAATGGTACTTCCGCGCGTGCACAGTGGTGCCATAGCTCCCAGCTAGCACAGCTCGCTTGACTTTACAGCCAAACTGCCTGGCAGCTGATGTGCTCTCCAAGTAAAGCTGGTCAGGGATGACGTGCGCAGGCACGGGACTCGAAGCTTTCAAAACTTTACATCTTTATCCTGATTTTATAAGCAATGCAGCCCGTTAACCCCATTCCTGCCCGAATCTCCTGGTAAACTTGAGTATATTAGGGCTTCCCGGGGACCTGAACGTTCTTCATAATGCTTTGAAGCATCCTTGCACAGGACCGATGGCTCAGGCTGCTCCAAAGCCCCACAGTCAATGTCTCAGAAAGTGGTGGATGCTTCTTAAACCGCACGCAGACTTGAGAAATCGACTGCAACAGAATCCATGTACCTGTACCCCCAGGGCGCGGGAACAGTTCTGCCTGCCCAGGGCATGGCTGAGAGGTCCCCCAAGTGGCAGGCGTTGGCCTGTGAGGGTGCTGAGGGTTTGGTATGGGGCTCCTCCATTTAAGGCATGGGGCCCCACTCCTGGGGCTAATCTGTGAATATACTGCTCCCACCTATGGCTGTTCTACGACCTTCCACTGTATTACCAGTCATTTCTAACACCAGTGAAGGAGCCTATAGTCTTAGAACTAGGGGAGTCTCAGAGGTAAGGTCCAAATACTTTGCTTGACAGGTGGGGAAACTGAGGTCCAGAGAGCTGAGCTGACCTTTGCAGTGAGTTAGAGCGGCAGGATGCACCTAGGTCTAGACACACTGATGGAAAACTAGAGCTGGGCTTTTTCAAGGGCAGTGAAATCGCTACCTACTGATTCTGTCCATGCAGCATAAGGGCCAAGGAAGCCTTTAGAAACATAAGGGCCATACAAGAAACTACTGGGGAAATGCCGTCAGCTTGCCAAGGGCCTCCACTGTGTGCATTTGAGCTCTTTGTCTGTTTGTCCCCTTCCCGCAACTTCTGGCCTCTGCAGAGCACAGTTTGTTGCAGGGAAAGTTCCCCAGTGCAGCGGCAGCCACCCCACCTCTCCCCCCGCCCCTGCTGTGCGTCTGCGTCTCTGTGCCAGCTCCCTTGTGTCTTGTTAAAATACATGTGCTAATTCTGTGTAGATGTAAGTTGGACAACTGACAGGGCACATTCTAAAATCTAATGCTTTATTATGGTTTTAGGATTTTTAAAAATTAAGACCTGGGTCAGGTATTTTTCATTTAAAATGTGTTTGCTGGGACTTCCCTGGTGGTCCAGTGATTAAGAATCTGTCTTGCAATGCAGGAGACGCTGGTTCAATCCCTGGTCAGGGAACTAAGATCCCACATGCCACGGGGCAACAAAGCCCACGCGCCACAACAAGAGAGAAGCCCGCCTGCCACAACGAAACATCCCGCATGCCACAACTAAGACTCGACACAGACAATAAATAAATAAATATTTTTTAAAAAATTAGGGGCTTCCCTGGTGGCGCAGTGGTTGAGAATCCCACACGCAGCAATGAAGACCCAACGCAGCCAAAAATAAATAAATTTATCTTAAAAAATTAGGCATTAAAAAAAGACTAGAAACAAATACACCAAATTGTCAAAAATGATAATGAGATGAGATGAAGTATATTTTTGATCTTTTGGCTTTCATGCCTCTTCCTTTCTGTAATGAACGTTTACTGTGATTCTTTTTTAAAGGAATGAATAGGAAGTAGCAAGTTTCCTATTTTGATACCCAGTGTCAAGGCCCCTCTTGGGGCTGACGAGGCCGACGCTGTGGGCAGGTCACCTGTCAGGAAGAGCCTTCCTTTAGATGTTTCTTTTTTGGAAATGGTGGCCTCACCAGCCTTAGAAAATGTGCCTTGAGTTCCGTGTATTCAGCCTCTTCATATGAAATCAACCCAGTTATGTTTTCTTTGAGCCAGGGTCCAGAAAATACCAGTGTTCTAGAAAGAAAAAAAAAAAAATCAAGGTTTAGAAACAAGCCTTCATTTACATGAACTAAAAACTCCTTGGGGACAGCTTTGTTGAATCTTTTAAATTTCAGTACGTAAAATGGACCAATGACCAGAGTCTTGGTGGCATTGAGGGCTGCCTGTCAAAGCTCAAAGCAGCAGATCCGACCTTCGGTGAGTGATGCTTTCCCTGGGTTGAGGAGCCCCGTTTCACAAGTCCAGCCCCTCACTGTTTCCCTGACTGCAGGACTCAGCTGGGTTGGGGAGGGCAGGGCTGGTTGCAGTGACCAGGTTGGGAGGGAGGGAAGGTGATAGCCACCACTGTGCTTGGAATAACAGCTGCTCCCATAAAGATGCCAGGTTCTATAGCAGGTGTCTTTCAAACGTTCTCCTTAAGACACTGATCCCAGTTCTCATATGAGGAAACTGAGATTCAGAGAGAGTAGAGAGTAAGAAATATACCCAAAGCCACCCAGCTGGTAGTTGGGGCGCTGGGATCAGACAAGCCTGTCTCAGTCCAAAGCCTGGACCCCTCGGAACACAAGAACTGGCCACTGCAGCCTCTCTGGGCACTAGCGAGGCCAACCCCACAGCAGCTGTGACGGGGAGGGCCGACCTGGTGACAGGCTGCCATCACAGGCGAGCCGTGTGCGTGGCAGGCACGCGGGCGGGGTCAGCCCAGTGCCTTCTGGAACCCCAGGAGGGTGGCCCAGTGTGGGTGAGGTTCTGGGCTGGGCAGAAGGGCTGAGGACGGGAGGGCAGCAGGGACCCCCACTGTGGCCAGGTCCCAGTGAGGGCAAGGGGCGCAGAATAGGGGATGAAGGGAGCTGTCACGGGAGCCAGTGTGCAGGCGTGGGCTCAGGTTCTCCGAGCAGACCCTGGCCCCAGGTCAGAAGCAGGGGCCACATGGGTGGTCCTGGCACTGTGGTTGGGTCCTAGATCCCAAGCCTGGGCCAAAGACTGAGTTCCAAACGCCAGCTGATACCCTTCCTCTGTCAAGGTTGGGGCTGGGAAGCCCAGGTAAGACCTGGGGGCCAGCACACCTGCAGCAAGGCTGCTACAAGGGCCACAAGGCACACCCCCATCTTCCTCGGCCCCCAAGCTCTCAGCGAATGAGAACAGCCAAGACAGGATCATGGTTTCTCTCTTCTGGGGACCAGCCCCCCCGACAGCATCTACCGGGTGGCCCTTGGGAGGCCCTGTGCTGCTGGTAGTGACAGTAGCAGCTGCGAGGGAAGCAGGTGGGGCTCCAGAGGAGCCCGTAGGCAGCCCCTAACCAGTTCACCTGGTGAGGGGGGCGCAGGGGCTCCACACGTTGGCACTCCCCAGAATGCCCTCCACGTGCCTGGTGAGGAGCTGAGTTCCGGGCTGTCGGTGGGGACACACCCGACCGGCCACCTGGCTTGCCCCTCTTGGGACGTTGGGTGTTTATTTCACATGCGGGGCTGGGCTGGGCTGGGTGGGACCGTCTGAATCACCAGCTATTTCCCCACCTTTCGCCAGCCCTGGGCCACGCCATCGCTAATGGCCTCATTCTGATTGGCACCGGAAGCTCCGTGAGGCTGGACAAGGAGCTGGACCTGGCTGTGAAGACGATGGTGGAGATTTCCAAAACTCAGACCCTGACGCGGCGGGAACGGCTGCACGTGTCTGCAGTAGAGACCTTTGCCAAGGGGTGAGGGGCCTCCCTGGCCCAGGGGCTGGCTCTCCGAGGCCACACTGGGCGATGCCACGGGCTGCCACTGCGCCGTGCGGAGGGGGCCTCGGGGGATTCTCACCCTGACTCCCGTGCCCGCCTTATTGAGAATCGCATCCTGCCTACTGCTCTGTCCTCAGCTGACTGCTGAATGAGGACGTGGTTGGTTAGGACTCCCAGGTTAGAATGCAAAGCAACTTATTGTGTTTCGTTAAATAAATTGGTTATTATTTTCATTACAAAAATAGTAGGACCACAGTACAGAAATAGATAAGAGATAGGAGAAAGAAGAAAACCGTCGCCCTTATGCCCCTGGCACTCACACACCTCTGAGCATCTGTCGTTCCCGCGGCTGTCCGTCCCCCTGTGTGTGGGAGTCCTGACCCTGGTGCCTGCCCCCAGGACAGCCCCTGTGTCTGCTTGGGCAGGAGAGATGCCTGTAGAGCTGGGTGACCTGAGCTGATGCTACAGGCGTTCTGAAGCAGTGACAGAGAGAGTTCTGTCCTGGTGTTCCTGGCAAGTGGGTGCGGATGTCAGCAGAGGGGTGGAATTCCACCTCTCAGCCTTCCTGAAGCTGGTTCACAGTCTCAGGTGAAATTGTCTTTGGTAACTTCTTAAACTAGTTTTTTTTTTTTTTTTTCTTTTCTTGAATTAGAGAGTAAAACTTCCCACTGAAGCTTTTCAATTTTCTGAGCCACAACCTAACGTAGAGACTTACACGTATCTTTTAATCAGTTCAGTGCAGGCTGTGGCACTGCAAGAAATTAAGCCTTTTCCACTCCTCGTGTGTGAACTGTGTTCAGTGTTGCTGAGAAACTTCTCTTGGCTTCCAGGAACCTTCCAAAAGCCTGTGAGCTGTGGGAACAGATTCTCCAGGACTACCCGACAGACATGTTGGCCCTGAAATTTTCCCACGATACCTATTTTTACCTGGGCTACCAGGAACAGATGAGAGATTCTGTGGCTCGAATTTATCCCTTCTGGACACCCGACATCCCCCTTAGCAGGTAGGTGCTAGCAGGAAATCACATCGTTTCTGTTTCTTAGTCTCTCTCCTCTGCCCTGAAAACGTGGCAACTCTCCTGGCCCTGCCCTAAAACTAGTGAGACTACTGTTGTTATTTCCTAGTTCTTTACAGTGAAAAGTTGGGACTTCCCTGATGACCCAGTGGTTGGAACGTCACACTTCCATCGCAGGGGGTGCGGATTCAACCCCTGGTCGGGGAACTAAGATCCTGCAAGCCGCGAAGATCGGCCAAAAAAAAAAAAGTGAAAAGGCTTCACGTCTTCATTTGATCTTTATCCCGTCCTGGGAATGAGGTAGTACTATTATGTATCAGTCAGCACAAGATAATTTTTGCCACAGTAACAAACATCCTCTAGATCTTTTTCTCCGAAGCTTATTACAACAAAGGTTAGTTTCTCACTGTCCATCATAGGAGAGCTGAGGCTCCACACCCCTGCCACTGTCGCCCTCCAGGATCCCAGCTGATGAAGTAACTGCTCTCGGGATACACCAGCTGCTAAGAGGGAAAGAGCTCTCCTGGGGGACTCACAATGGCATTAGTGCTCAGAGTGAAGGGTGTGCCCTGCAGCTCCCGAGCCACTGGTCAAATCCAGTCACCCACTCACAGGGGGCCAGGAAGTGCAACTCTACTTTGGGCTGGGAGGAGAGGGAGGCCTGGAATAACCATGAACAGCCCTAGGGACCACCACACATGATCACCTCCGTTGCATTTTAGTCATAGGATCGTTGTGAAGGTCAAGTGGACTAATAGATTGAAGAGCTGTATTAGTCAGGGTTCTCCAGAGAACAGAACCAATAGGGTGTGTATATCTGTATCTATATCTATACTATTTACATATATATATGGAGGGGGGTGGGGTGGGGTGGGGTGGCGGGGGAAGGTATTTGTTTTAAGGAATTGGCTCCTGTGACTGGGGACTGGCAAGTCTGAAATCACTGCAGTCTCTGCCTTCGTCTCCACGTGACTGTCCTTTGTGTGTGTGTCCATGTGTGTCTGTGTCCAAACCTTCCTCCTTCTCCTTTCTCTTATGAGGACATCAGTCATTGGATGTAGGGCCCACCCTAATCCAGGATGACCTCATCTTAACGTGAGCTTGATGATGGTCTGCAGAGACTCTAATTCCAAGTTAGGGCATGTGTTTAAACGTACCATTTTGGGGGAGACACAGTTTGACCGACATGGGTCATGTTGAGGGTTGAACGGTTCTAGTGCACTTTTTTTTTTTTTTTAAAGGGCTTCAAATGCTTGGCTTTTTATTTATTTATTTATTTATTTATGGCTGCGATGGGTCCCCGTCTCCGCGCGAGGGCCCTCTCCAGCCGTGGCCAGCGGGGACCACTCCTCATCGCGGTGCGCGGGCTTCTCACTGATGTGGCCTCTCCCGTTGCGGAGCACAGGCTCCGGACGCGCAGGCTCAGCAGCCATGGCTCATGGGCCCAGCCGCTCCGTGGCACGGGGGATCCTTCCAGACCAGGGCCCGAACCCGCGTCCCCTGCATTAGCAGGCAGACTGTCAACCACTGCGCCACCAGGGATGCCCAAGTGCACTTTTTTTAAAAATAATTTTCTTCTGTTTTCAGCTACGTGAAAGGCATCTATTCTTTCGGCCTGATGGAAACCAACTTCTACGATCAGGCGGAAAAGCTCGCCAAAGAGGTAAGTGGGCCCTTCCTGAGATGCCTGAGCCCTTGTGGAGTGGGGTCAGGTGGAGGAGAGCACGCCAGGCACGCTGCACCCCACCCACTCAGGACCTCGCTTCCTACCAGGAGGGCTCATGTTAACAGAGAGGGCAGCTCCCTCCCCTTTTCCCCACCCTGGGTTTGCAAAGCCGCCTTGCTCAGGAAACTCCCCACCCAGGCCATGAAGGCAAATGAGGCCCAGGGAGGTTCCGTCCACCCCTCTTGCTTAGGGTCACACGGAGTGGCAGCTCTGCACGCCCCCAGCTCCGTATCTCCAGGGCCCACAGTTTGCGCTGCTGGACCCAGACTTTGTAAGTGGGGAAGCGAGTATCAGCGTCACTTCTCCCACCTGAGACCTCACGTGTCTAAGTGTCACTGACTTCACCAAGCCTCCAGGAGCTAACAGATGAGTGATGAGTGAGGCTTGTCGCCGAAAATTCAATGAACTATCAAGTTAAGAAAAAAAAATGGGGAATTTTATTCGAGCCAAACTGAGGGTTGTAACCCGGGAAGCAGATTCTCAGAAAGTTCTGAGAACTGTTCAGCCTGTTAGAACTCAAAGGTACAGTCATAGTCATCTACCTTTTGGAGACAAAGGATCGTACATCAAAATGACATCCTGATGTTTTATGTAGAGGTCACCAAGGAGACATAGTCCGGGTAAGCACGGACAGAGCCAGCGGCGAGTCACCATGACCCCCTACAGAGCTGGGGAAGAACGCGTTCTTTTAAGAACTTACATTGCTAGCATCAGAAAAAAGGGAAGAATTGACGTTTACAGTCCGGCAGGTGCTCCCATCTCTGAGGAGCACTGATGGATGTGTAACACACGTACATGCATACCAGGGAGGGAGGGAGGAGGCCCAAACAAGCCCAGAGAGAGAACTTTATGTTTAACTTTTCTTGTCCTGCCTTAAGATATAAATTTTATTTCATCAGACTGCTTCCAGTGGGCCCTGACCTGGCGTTGGGGTCCTGCTGGCCAGCGCTTCTCTTGAGCACCGCCCCCATCCGGAGGGGGCAGCGGCCAAGGGTGCAGAACAGGGTGGGATGCTAAGCGCTTCCTGCCGGCCCAGGCCGCTCCTTCCGTGCTGGTGGAGATGGGCTGGCTGGCAGGGTGGACGTCCCTCACTCGCAGGCCCGGGAGCCTCAGCATCTCTGGCTCTCAGAGTCCCTCTCCAGCTCCTCCTGTCGCGGGAGTGGAAACTGAGTCCCAGGGAGGGGCCGCCACGCACAAGGGGGTGACAACCACTCCCGTGCCTGGCTCAGGGCCGGCACTCAGTGTACCCGCCGCTCCTGTCGGCTCGATCCTCTGCAGCGGGGCATTGAACTCTTCATTGCCCAGAGGAGGGCGACCAGGCCCGGAGAGGCCAAGGCCGTGGCCACACAGCTCACAGAAGGCAGAGCCACGGTCACCCAGGCCACCTGAGCACAGTCCTTCTTGCTGCCTGGACAGACCTGCTCCCCAGCACCCAGCCAGGGCTCTCCCCCCGAGTCTTTGCCCTAGTTGGCTCCCAGCACCCCTCCCTGGGAGACAGCCGGCACCCTCCGGGGCCCCACAGGGCCTGTGGGGTCTCTGACAACCACTCTACTTATAGAATAGAGCCCAGATTTGACAGTAGGATGATGGGGTCTGTGCTTTAGCCCTGAGTCAGGCCGTCGAGGGGCACAGGGAGCTTCACGGCAATCTGGGTGACCAGGCACCACCATCCAGGGGGCCAGCTGTAGGAAGGGTCCCCTGGAGACCTTGGCAGCTGGGCCCTCCCTCTGGGTGCCGTCTATGTGGGCACCTGAGGGCTGGCAGGATGGTTCAAGAAGTCAGAGGGTGACCAAAAGGTGCAGGTTCACACCCGCCAGGAGCAGGAAGCGGTGGCGTGGGGTGCCCCGCTCTGCTCCCTTCACGCCCCTTCTCCTTCAGGCGCCCGCACTCTGACCCCAGCACCAGCCCACCACAGACAGTTACTGGGCAAGGCCAGGCCTCTAGGAGAGCGAGGGTGGGCTGCACAGGCTCCACTGGAGTCTGGAGACGCCTCACGGTGGTGACGCGTGGGCCTTGTCTGCAGGCTGAACGCCCAGGGCAGGAAGAGCTAAGGGCAGCTGTCGGGGAAGGAGAGCCGCAGCGAGTTCAGGGTCACGGAGCACTTGATAGACTGAGACTTAGGGCGGAGGTGGGCGGGCCGGGTGCTGGGAGCAAAGTCTGGGGGCAGGCAGGGCCGGATCGCTCTGGCCTTGTAGACTCTGTCCCAGGGAACCTTGGGAGGGAGCCGGTCAGGAACCCCTCAGCGAGGGGGGAGCTTAATCCCAGCAGGGGGATGAGAACGGCCCTGCTGCCCTGAGCCTCTGTCTTCCGCAGCACGCTTAGCAGGTCCCTTCAGCCTGCTCAGCTGCGCCCCTGGGGTCTCCTGAAGGGTCCTGGTCCTGCAGGGTTCTGCCCCGGGCTGCCCGTCGTTCCCTACAGATGTGGCCTTTCTCTGGTTGGACTGGTTGGGCCCATGCAAGTCAGGGCTGCAGCAGGGAGGTGGGGCTTGCTGGGGACCACCTGCCAGCATAGACCCCGCAGCAGGTGCCAGGCCAGGGGTGAAGGTGCTGGGCTTTCCCAGTTCTGCTTCTGTGAAAGACGTGGGCGCCTGAGGTGGCAGGGCTGGGGGGACCCCGTGATCAGATGTGGAGGACCTGGGCTCGTGTGGATGGTCCACAGGCCCGTGGTGAGCCCTGGCTTACTGCTCTGTGCCAGGATCAGTAGGCGCTCCGTAGCCATGAGCTAAACGACCCGCCGTGAGATGGGAGTCAGACCTCGTGTCCCGCCTGCCGTGTCGTCACCGTCAAGTCCAAGGGTCATCGGAGCGGCTCTTGTTGTTCCTAGCAGTGATACCAGAACGAGCCCGGAAAGCCACACGTGTGGTCCTTGCATGTGTGTGGTCCTTGCATGTGTGCTAGTCGGAGGGGCAGCCGAGAGCCCCTGGAGCGCACACACTCAGTGTCCACTGGCCTCCACGGCAGTTGCGAGAGGAAGGCGGCCTTACTTCCCACCACAGGGGAAACTGGGCAGCAACTCAGCTGTATGCAGGAGGCTGGGGGCCAGGGGGTTGGATGAGCCCCTGCTTTGGAGAGACCCCAGTGCCACCCGACTGTGTGGGCCCGGGCAAGTCACTTAGCCTCTCTGAAGCTTAGTCTCCTCATCTGTGAAATGGGCAGTGATACCCTCTCCGGCAGCATCTGGTGTTTGGTCAACGGGCCGGTCCTTGGGGTCGTTATTTTGAGGCAGAGCCCAGGCCCCTTGCTTGCCCAGGCCCCTCGTGCCCCGGCACGGCTTGGGGACGCCTCGTCACCGGGCAGCCTGACTCACCCATGTTATCTCGACTTGTCCCCCACCCAACCCCCACACCCCCGCCACGTAGGCTTTGTCTATTAACCCGACGGACGCGTGGTCGGTGCACACCATCGCGCATATTCATGAGATGAAAGCAGAGGTCCAGGATGGATTGGAGTTCATGCAGCGCTCAGAAACCCACTGGAAGGTACGATTCGTGTCCGCCCACCTGCCTGGAAAATTCTATTTGTTCCCCCAAGTTAAGCCAGGGATTAACGGATGGAGCTACAAGGCGTGGCTTAGTTCTGGGGAGAACTCAGCTTCCACTTGGAGGCGTTTCTGTCAAGCCACCAGATCCCCTGGGAACCCCACGGCTTCCCAACATCCGCTGATGTTTTGAAGGTGTTTCTAGAACTGGTTGTGGCCTGAGGTTGTAGAGGGAATGGATGAGAAAGGGGAAACGAGAGCCCAGCAGGGGTAAAAACTGTGAGCTCACCGGCCAGCAGACTGGACACAGACCCCAGAACCACAGAGCGTCCTCAGGGAGCACGCGGTGCAGCCAGGGCTTGATGGGAGGGACGACGGCCCAGCCACTGCCGGTGGGGCTGGTGTGCGGGGCTCAGGGCCCTGGTGAGGCAGCAGCGTGGATGCCATCCAGACCCCTCAAGACCTTCCAGACCCTCTCCTGGGGCCTTAACACCCAGGGGCCTCCCTGCTCCCACCCCCGGCGCCCGCCTGCGCCCAGCTGCTGTGGCCCTCCCTCTGCATGCGCCTGTGGTCCTTGAGTGTGTCTCTGGCCTACAGCCTGGCTACCTGTCCAGGTGCGGTCTGCTGCTCTGCCCTTCTCTGTGCTATGGTGGGCTTCCCAGGGCACCGCCGGCCAAGACAGTGCGTCTCTGCCAGGGCCTGGCACCGGGCAGCAGGTGCTCAGTGATTTAGCAAACCACGGAGAGACCAGGAACCAGGCAGGGAACAGGGGACTGGCATGGTCACCTCAGTTCCTCCCAGCAGCTCCCTGGCCTAGGACAGGCCAGCGAGAAGTAATTTACAAGAAGGCAGATTCCTGGCTTCTCCAAGAGGGGTATTAAGTAGAGCCGGCGAACTGGTGTAAGAGAAGCTTTGAGAACTATAATCTCATTAGATTCACACTCAGATCTTTTTTTCTTCTTCGGCTGCGTTGGGTCTTTGTTGCTGCGTGTGGGCTTTCCTTAGTTGCAGCAAGCAGGGGCCACTCTTCGTTGCGGTGCCCGGGCTTCTCATTGCGGTGGCTTGTTGCAGAGCACAGGCTCCAGGTGTGCGGGCTTCAGTAGTTGTGGCTCGCGGGCTCCAGAGCTCAGGCTCAGTAGTTGTGGCGCACGGGCTTAGTTGCTCCGCGGCATGTGGGATCTTCCCAGACCAGGGATGGAAACCGAGTCCCTTGCGTCGGCAGGCGGATTCTCAACCACTGCGCCACCAGGGAAGCCCCCAGATCTTTTTAAGGATCCCCGAACGCTGGGCACGAGCTAGGCCCTGGGTGGGGGTGGGGGTACAGTGTGGGTCGGGCCCTTGTCCTCGGGCTCCCCCTGCAGGTGCTGAGTCTGGATGGAGGGAGCGCAGAGTTGCCCTGTCCTCTGAGGGGGAGGCGGCGGAGGCGTGGCCAGGGCCAGGTCATTTGTATTCCACTTACTTCCTGCCCCCAGACTGCGATTTTCCTGGGCCTGGGTGCTTGAGGCCTGGCTCCACCCCAGGACGAGACCGTGGTCCCTCTGAGCCTCGGTTTCCTTACCTGAAAACCTGCTGCCGCAACAACTGTGAAGCCCTTGCCCCGAAGGAGTCCCCATCTGTGTTAGTCCCACTGTAACAGGCAGCCCGAGGTGGCTGGGGCCATCTCCAGCAGGCGCTCGTCCCCTGATGCCTACACATGTCCCTGCAGTGGCTCCTGCCAGCCTCTGGCCTGGCTGCACAGCCCTGGGGTGGACGATGTGGCCTGGGGCTCCCTTTCCTCCTCCTCCAGCACCTGCCCCAGGCATTTGGCTGTGCCCCTCCCTGGGGACCCCACTGAGAGTCCCACCCAGACCTCTCTGTCCTCAAAAGGCCCGTCAAGTGGAGCGAGCAGTTCCCTAGCAGCGCATGACTGCACCATGCCAGGGGCATTCTTGGGGATGTGGAAACCCAGAAGAGGCATCCCACCCAACTCGGCTTGAGGGAGAAACAGTCAGGGAAGGCTTCCTGGAGGAGGCAACGTATGAGCTGAGTATTGCAGGGTGAGTAGGTGTTTGCTAAGCAGAGGACAGGGAGATGTAGGATCAGCTTAAGCAAAGGCGCCAAGGCCTACAGTGGCCTGTAAGGGAGAGGGGAGTTGGGTGGGTTGGCACCCTCAAATACAGGTGCCAGGTAGACGTGGGCCATGGAGGAGGCATCGTCAGTTCCTTTCCAGGAGATGGGAGGTGGTATCCAGGCAGAGAAGGAACTGTCAGCCGCAGCCCCGTAGGCTAGTGTTCATGGTAGGGCCAAAAGCGTACCAGCTGCAGCCGTCTAGATGTCACCCCATTCCCCTTATTCTGTGGGCTCTGACAGGACCTGCAGGGAGTTTGGCCCTGGGCTCACTGATCCGTAGGGTTTTACTGGATGCATTGCACTGTTTGGACGCAGTGGGCCTCTGCAGCCGTTCGGATAGACTTATTCATTTTCTCCACTCCACACCCAAGGAAGGTGAGGCTTTGGTTCTCCTGCCTTCTTGCTCTGGGGCTAAGATGCCAGCCTGCCGCAGCCTCAGCATCCTCGGAAAATTCAGGCACGCCACTCGCTGAGGCTCGGAGCCAAAGGAGAAGATGGGGCGTGGACTCGCCGGCACAGGCCGGCCAGGGCGGGTGCCCGGGAAGCGTTTCCTGCGTTCAGAGCTGTGGCGCTCTGCGTTGGCACAGAACAGCAGCTGCTTCCCGCCTCCCCCCAACAGGCTGTCAGATTTTTCCCTCATTCTCTCGTTCTTTCCCCAGGACTCTGATATGCTCGCTTGTCACAATTATTGGCACTGGGCTTTATATCTGATTGAAAAGGTAAGATGACCGGCTGTCTCATCCTATAAAGATGTCCAAGGAAAGAAATATTTTTCTCCCTTTTGCTGTACTTTGTATCCTATGGAGCAGTACGGTGTGATTGCACATTTCAAAGGTGTCCTGATGCAGCAGAGCATTCATGTTTTCAAATAGCTTTTCAGGCTTAAACTACTTTAGGTATTCTGCACTGTCTGGACTTGGAAATCATGTGTATCGTGTGCCATTTGTGGAGACAGGGTAGCCCGAGCGCCTGCCGCCGTAGTGGACTGCTAGGCTCCCACCTCACGGACGTAGCTGAATGAACCATGGGACCCTCCGAATGCTTTGCCCCAGTGGCAGTGAGCGTGTGGGGACACCCTTGACCCCAGTGATTCCACCACTGGGTCCCATTTATAAGGGTTTGTCTTACAGTTTATCGTAGAAAAAATCTAGAAGCTCCCTAAATGTCCAAAGAGAAATGCTTGGAAGGTGAGGACCCTGTAATGACAGGCAGAATGCAGTGATACAGTGTCTCCAAGAAAGCAGTGAACCCAACTGGGCAGTAAGGAAAATAAAGGGAAAAACAATCCTAGAAGAAACACATGAAAAAGCTGGCAGCCGCTTGACAAGCGCTTCATGGGAAGAATAATGCTTTCGCAGAAAGGGCTCCCTTAGCAGCAGGAGCTGCTGCTGTGTCTTCTGCGCAGGGGAGCGAAGGGCTGGGGCAGAGGTGGGTTCCTCTCCTCCCATCCTGAGACCCACCACGGCTGTGGGGTGGGGGCTCTGTCGAGGTCATTTGCAATTCATGTCTCAGCATCTCATTTCACCTCCTCCACGTGTTAATCCCGGAACTTCATTTTTCCAGGGCGAATACGAGGCCGCATTGACCATTTATGATGACCACGTAAGTCCACGCTTGCACCCGATTCGGTTTACTGCAGCGATTTACCCTTCAGTCTCTAACAGATCTTTGAGCCAGTCAGTGTTACCCCAGCCAGACCCACAGCTGGAGCGAGAGCACAGCTATTGTGTAAGACCTCCCGGCGTGGATTCTCTCGCAGAGCGGTGTCAAAACCCAGAATGGGATTTGACTCTTTGCCCGTGGGCGTGGGCAGATTGCACATCTCATTTGGTCATCTCTGAAATCTCAGGCTTCCCTCCAGTCATTTTATTTTATTTTATTTTAAAATGTATTTGTATGTTCTTTTTTAAAAGAAGACCTTTCTTTTTAAAAGAAAGGTCTTTGTTGTTGTGTGCAGGCTTTCTCTAGTTGCAGCGAGCGGGGGCTACTCTTCATTGCGGTGCGCGGGCTTCTCATTGCGGTGGCTTCTCTTGTTGCGGAGCACAGGCTCTAGGCACGTGGGCTTCAGTAGTTGCACCACGTGGGCTCAGTAGTTGTGGTTCGCAGGCTCTAGAGCGCAGGCTTAGTAGTTGTGGCGCACGGGCTTAGTTGCTCTGCAGCATGTGGGATCTTCCTGGACCAGGGATCGAACCCATGTCCCCTGCATTGGCAGGTGGATTCTTAACCACTGAGCCACCAGGGAAGCCCCCCAGGAATTTTTTTTTTCTGTAGTAAAATATACATACCGTATTTTACCGTTTTAACCAGTTTTGAGTGTATGGTTCTGTAGCATTAAGTATATTCACATGGTGGTGCAGCCACCACCACCATCCATTTCTGGAACTTTTTCATCTTTCCAAACTGAAACTCCTGGCCTACTAAACACTAACTCCCTATTCCCCCTCCCTCCACCCCCTAGGTATGTTTAAGAGGGGAAAAAAAGCCTAACTTGCAACTGCTGGGGACCCCACCATGGGCTTAATAGCAGAGCCTGGGGTCACAAAAATGCTTGTAATTTGAGGATCTAAACCCCAGAGAAAAACACTCAGTAAAGTTTCCTATAAGTCATCCTCTCGGGTTGTCGGGATTTCGTAGTAAAGAGTGAAGGGTAACGAGCTGTGTGCCGTGAGACGTAGACCAGCCGAATGTGGAATCGTGGTCGGGCGAGATGATTCTCTGCCGTCATAGACCAGGGCTGGGGGCAGGAGATGACAGGTGCCAGGGCCCGGCAGGTGCTCCCCCAGGTGCCAGTGCGGCGGGCTTTTTCTCAAGTCTGTCCAGTGTCCCTTGGGCAGCTGGAGCGGCCCAGGCCCTTGGAGAGGGGAGTGGCCCTGAGAGCTGGGCTGGAGGGGACACTGGCAGTGGCTCCTGTTGGCTGAGGGCTGGCTCTGCCCAGGCCCTACGCACAGCGCAGAGGGCTGGGCTCTGGCCGTCCCTGCAGCCCCTCATCCCCTGCCTGCTCTTGTCTTCCAGATCCTCCCCAGCCTGCGGGGCAGCGGCGCAATGCTGGACGTGGTGGACAGCTGCTCCATGCTCTACCGGCTGCAGATGGAAGGTACCCGGTCTGGGCCTTCTCCTCTGGCTCTTCTCCCACCCGAGGAGGGTACGGTGCCACGGCCTGGGCTCAGGCCGGCAGGAGCTCATTAGCGAGTTTCTCCAGGGCCTGCTCCCGGTCCCGGGACGGCGCGGCTTCGGGTACCAGCCCTGAGGCTGCCTTCCAGCTGGCCTGAGGCCAGTGGGCCAGGCCACTGCTGCCCTTTCTCCCAGCTCCCTCCGCTCCTCGGTGTGCAGCCTCAGGCTCCGAGTCCTGCTGGCACCTGCCGTTCCCACAGCCTACCTGCCAGGCCTGCATGGCGCGGGTGGCGCCTGGCCACCTGTGTTTGGGTGCCACCTCAGTTTCTCAACTCCCTGGGATTTCAGAGGGAGGGTTTTCCCAACAGTGTCATGCAGTGCTCTTCAGGGAGCCTGGATGGGGTTGCCCATAGCCCTGAGGGCTACGGAAGGCTTATGGCCAACCACTGGGGTACCAGATAGCTCTCCCCTCTCCCCCAGGCTCAGCAGAGCCAAACCTGTACCCACTGTAGGGCCTGGGTCAGTGGGGATAAGGCCCGGGCAGGACTGGCTGTTTCCGGGGACTCTGGGAAGGCTTCCTAGAGGAGGTGAAACGTGAGCCATGGAAGGGAACGTAGGGTTTTGCCGGGTGGCGGCGGGACAGGATGTTACAGGTGGGAAGCAGCCTATCTGAAGCCCCCAGGACACAGAAGCCAGTGGCCTGTTATGGGGATGAGTGACGGAGTGTGGGGTCCGTGCGCTCAGAGGAGCAGAGGAGGCTGAGAGCTGGGGAGGGAGGGTGAAGAGTGTGGCTTTCATCCGGGTCTGCGGGGAGCCTGCGGGGCAGGGCTGGCCAGGCTCTGTCCAGCAGGGGGGCTGAGCCAGGGGAGGCCGGGCTGGAGGCCAGGGCATCCGTGAGGAGCTGGGAGAACAGTGAGGGGCTCTCACGGCTGTCCAGGTGATAAGGCCTGGACACCGGAACCCAGGCTGGTGGAGGCCTGTGTCTCTGTCCGGCCAAAACCATCGGAACTCGGTGGCGGGGGGGGGGGGCCTGGGGGCAGTTGAGTCCTGTTGACCCTTTGCCTGTGGAGGCGCAGCCTGGGCCCCCCTGAATTCGCCGGAGGAGGGGCCCAGCCTGGAGGCTGGGAGGCACGGTGTGGGTGCCTCGGGGCCGGTGGAGGGAAGAGGAAGGTCACTTGCTCCCTCAGCATGCAGAGTGGAGACTTCAGAGCCGCGTCCAACTGACGGGCGGAGAAACGGAAGTCAAGGGCAACAACAAGGTCACGGGAAGAGCCCGCTAGGAGCAGTAGGAAAACTCGGGTAAAAGTTGCAGGAGCGGGAGGGACAGGAGGCGGGAGGCGGTGGTGGAGAGCGGAGCAGAGGAGGGACTGTCCAGAGCTGGAGATCCGGACACAAAGGCCGAAGGATGCTTCTTATGAATTCCGCTGTGCTGTGCTGTGTCAGGTGCCTGCCCAGTGAGAACCACGGGAAGAATTTTTAAAGTGGTTTGGGGTTTGTCAAAGGGTCCAGAGACCTCATTTAATACCCTTCCATAGCTTTTTTTTTTTTTTTTTTTTGCTTTCTACCTTACCCGTCTGCCACCTTTATGATTAAACAAAGTTAATATAAACCGGCCCCCAAAGCCTAAGCCCGAGGCCAGACACCGCCTGCCAGCGTCACCCGGCCTCCTCACCTGGAGCCGCCCGTGGGTGCCAGAGGCCCGTGCGCACAGCGCTTATGCCAGGCCTGCGGGTGTCCTCCCGTGTCCCCAGGGGTGTCTGTGGGTGAGCGGTGGCAAGATGTCCTGTCCGTGACCCAGAAGCACAGCCGCGACCACATCCTCCTCTTCAACGATGCGCACTTGCTGATGGCGTCCCTGGGCGCTGGGGACTCCCGGACCACGCAGGAGCTGCTGACCACCCTGCGGGATGCCAGCGAGTACGTGGAGGGCCCGGGGCCACCGGGGGGACCCCCGCCCTGCTGAGAGGGCCCTGGGGGGCTGCTCATGCCACCCCTGCCCGACTGGGGGGCTGGAGGCCCCACTGGTGGGTACAGCCACACAGACGCCCGTGGAGGGCTTCTCGCAGGTGTGCGCCTCCTGGGTGTTTGTCCCCATAGGTGTGCATCCCCCGCAAGTGTGTGCCCCCAGGTGTCCACTCCCCACCCCCCGCCCGGGCGTGCGTCCCCGCAGGGTGTGCCCTGCGAGGGTATAGTTGGCTCCCCCAGGACACAGAGCAGCCTCTCCATCCCCTAGGCCTCAATGGCAGCATCATGCACAGGGGATGCCGTGAGGCCCTGCAACCAGAGACACCCGCCGCTTACAGGGCCTCAGCTCTCTGATGTGAGCCTGTTTCCTCATCTGCTGGGACAGGCTGGTAGGAGAGTGAGGGGCAGTGACGCGGTGACACACACCCAGCACAGTTCCTGAGCCGGTTCCAATCACAGCGGGGGCCAGAGAGAGTCCAGGGAAGCGGGCTCTGCACAGCACAGGCCACCAAGGAGGCAGCCAGCCCTCATCTCCTGCCTGTAGGGCTAGAGCTGTGGGACCCATGAACCCTGGTGGTTTGTCCCGGGTGCCTGGGGGCGGGTGGCCACCCACGGCCGCTTGCCCTGCCCCTCCTCCCAGGGCTGAACTGCATGAACTGGGGGCTTTGGCTGGGGACGTAGCTTCAGGCCCCCGGCCCTCACGACCCAGATCGACCGCCACCTGAGGGCAACGGGAAGACAAAGCCTGCCACAGCTGTTCACTCCAGGGGCCGGCGCCGACTCCAGTGCCAGCCTTCACCTGCATTGCCCTGCGAGGGCGGCACTGCTACTCCCACCTTACAGATGAGCAAACCGAGGCCAGGCGTGGGGCATCCGCCCAAGGCCGCGTCGCAGTTGAACTGAGTTTAGAGCCCAGTTCTCTCCCCTCCCTGGCGGCTTGTCCTCTGTCAGGTCACCTGATCAAAGCACCTACTGTGTCAGGCACGGAGCCAGGGATGCTGGGCTGAGGAGGAGACAGCCTCCTCCTCAGGCGCCTGAGTGGGGGGGGGGCAGCACGAGGCCCTGCAGGACGCTGGGGGCACCCTCTTGGCTGGCAGGTCCCCGGGGGAGAACCACCAGCACCTCCTGGCCCGCGACGTGGGGCTGCCCTTGTGCCAGGCCCTGGTGGAGGCCCAGAGTGGGAACCCCGATGGCGTGGTGGAACTGCTCCTGCCCATCCGCCACCGGATTGTCCAGATCGGAGGCAGCAACGCCCAGGTGAGCCAGCAGCTGCGGTGCAAGGGCCAGTCCGGGAGCCCCTGTGCCCCACGGCCTCTGTCTCCGCGGTGTTGGCACCCACAGTGTGGGAGAGTCCTTGTCGTTCACATCCCCCAGTAAGCTTGTCCCTGAGAACAGGCCAGCCTGCAGTGGGGAGGGGGCAGGCGTCCCTATACCTCGTCCCACGTCACAGAGCCTCACGTGCCCACTTGACCTTTCAGAGAGACGTCTTCAACCAGTTACTGATTCACGCGGCCTTAAACTGCTCGTCCGGCATCCACAAGAACGTGGCCCAGTGAGTTCCTCGTTCTGGTCCCAAAGCCCAGCTGGGAAGGACCCCGAGCACAGCCCCGTCTCACTCAGGGGTCTCCCCACAGGCTTCCAGGTGCCCAGAGGCTCCCACCTCCCTTGGCCCGAGGTGGTGCCCACCTCTGAGGCAGAAATGCAAGGCTACCGGGGTGCCTGGTTCTCCCCCTGTGAGCGTCTTCAACTTGACCAAAGGATCTGACCACCCCCACCCCCAGGCCCCCCCTCCTGCCCTCCCAGCCCACTCCTCATTTCTGGCCACAGTGAGCTGCAGTTACTCTTTCAGGCCCCTGGGCCTTTGCACGTGCCACACCCTCTGCCTGGGACATCCTTTCTTCTCTTGCACCTGCCGACGCCTACCGACCCTTCGGGTCTCAGCTCACATTCTCCTACCTGTGCTGGGTGCCAGGGGCGGGGGGTGGTGGTGGGCAGGAGACCCAGGCCCAGGCTGCATGTTACATTCTCCTACCTGTGCTGGGTGCCAGGGGCGGGGGGGGGGGGGGCGGGCAGGAGACCCAGGCCCAGGCTGCACGGAGCTTACCTCTCCTGTGGGAACTGACACGAGGCAACCAATGCCACAAATATGTGTAAAACTGCCACGAGGGCGGGCGTACTGCCCAAGACGCTGTGATGAGTGGGTGGGGGTCAGGAGGGGGAGGGTGCCTGGTGGAGGTGACACTCTCGGGGAGGCCTGAAACCAAGCGAGTTTAACCAGGCCAGGGGTGATCTGGTTAGGAGGAGGGGTGTGGCTGGAGGATTGGGGGTGTCAGGGTAGGGGCACCCCAAGAAGCAAGCTCTACCCGTGAAGCCAGCCATCGCCGGCAGCCTTCGCTGTCCCACACCCCATTCACCTCAACCTGCACCAGCCCCTATGCTCCTGGGGGGAGATGTGACCCCCCCATCCCTTAGGCCCTCCTGGAACGCCGAGGGGAAAGAGGGGAGCCAAGGGGTGCCGGGTGGGCAGGAGGGGTGGCGTGAGGCCCAGCGAAGCTGCCGCTGCAAGTCCAGGCTGCACCGTGGGGCCCAGGAGGCCCCTGCTGGGCGCTCGAGGTTAGAGGTCAGGTGGAAAGCGCCAGTGTCCAAGCAGGGCCCTGCTGCCCCGACGACCGTTCCAAAGCGAGCAGTGCAGGTGCTGGTGAAACAGGTGTGGACGCTGTGTCACACCTGAGTCTGGATGGACACGCTGGAAATGGTCAAACCCTGGAGCGCCCTGGACACATGCCCCTCGCTGTCCCCCTCCGTGGCCACGTGCAAAACCTCACGCATTTCTCTAGTGGTGGAGCCGCTTGGGGAGCTCCAGGCCTGGTGTGGCACCTCTGGCAGCTGGGCAGGGAGGGTGGGGCCCTTTGGACAGAGAGGAGGGTGTGGGCTTGAGCAGGGGAGCTGGGGCCAGCACACGGGCGGGGTGACGAAGTCCACGCTGGGGGGCAGGGGGCGCAGTAGGTGCTCTGCCTCTGGGAGTGCGAGGGGAGCCTGCTGCTGTCGGGGTGACAGGCACGCCCCCTCCTGGTGCCCTCCTGCCATCCACACACGGCTCAGCTCCCCTCCTGTCCAAGGTGGAAACGCTCAGCCCCCTGCATGGTGTCCCTGCCCCAAGTGCCAGGCCCCGGCCCCTTAACCGCACCCGCAGCGCACAGAATCGCTGTTGTCAATTGTTTGGGGTCTTTGCCTTAAATGATTCTCTCTTTGTTGAAAGAGATTTTTCCCACACCACCTCTTCTGCCACTCGCTTTCCTGGAACATCCTCAGGCGTGGCTCTCCCCCCGATCCCCACAGTCGTGCTCTCCCCACTGGTCCCAGCATTCTGTATGGCGGGAGGATGGGCCCCGAGTTCCTGGGGCAGACGAGGCCGCGGGGCTGTGCTCGCCCTGACATTTTCTGCACGTGGGCATCGCTGTGCAGGCATCGCTGTGCGGGAGCATTGTCGGGAGGCTCTTGGAACACCGGAGGTCCTGGGCCAGTGCGAGCACGCGGGGCTCCGGAGTCCACGCTGTCTCATCCTCACATCTCCGCCCCCCTTCCCTCTCGTCCCCACCCCTGGCGTCCTGCCTCTGGGCCTTTGTCCCTCTAGTCCCCTCTGCCGTGATGCCGTCCCCTCCCTCCACCACTTGGGAAGGGGAGCATCTTGCTCTCTGCCACTCGGGCCCCAGCCCATGCTGCCTGTGTCCTGCCTTGGGGTGGCAGGACCACCCGCCCCCCACATTCTAGGAGGTTCCAACACAGAGCCTGTCTCTGTTTCCCCAGGAGCCTTCTGATGGAGCGAGACGCCTTGAAGCCCAACTCCCCACTGACCGCGAGGCTCATCCGTAGGGCGGCCGCCGTCCACCTCCTGCAGTGAGGCGCTGGCCACCTGCCCGCGGAGCCTCCCGGGCCATCAGACCAGCTGCCACACTGGCTTCGCAGGGTTACAAGTAGCTGGAGCCTGTCGATTAGGCCCGTAAAGGTGAAGCCCTGTAACCAGCAGCGTTACAGGAAGAGGGGACAGAAATAACCAGCAGCGTTACAGGAAGAGGGGACAGAAATAACCAGCAGCGTTACAGGAAGAGGGGACAGAAATCAATTTTCAACATGATTCTGAATCTTCTCATCCTCGTTAAGGGCCAGGGTGCAGTTCTAAGCAGTCAGAGCTGAGGTGGGGACCGCTGTTCCACTTGCCTTGCAAATTGTATTTTCCCAGGGGACCCTTATACCTTCTGGTCGGTCAGGGGTCGGAAGGGTTGGTGCTGGGCTCAGCTGGGGGAGGGGAGTCTCCTATGCAGCCCCTGGGGGCACCCCTCCCCCGCAGCCTAGGCTGTCCCTGGGATAAACCCCTTCATTCTGTCTTCCTCCCTGTATTCCAGGCAGGTTCTGTTGTCCGACCTTTTGGGTGAGGGTACCAATGCGGGGGAGTGACTTGCCCAGGGTCACAGCTAGCGGAGGCCCTGGGGACATTCACCCCAGGCCCCTGTGCTTCCTGGGAGAGGGACCCCCATCTTGCTGCCTGGGGCCTCGGCCCTTCTGCTGTCTCTGCAGAGATGTCCTCAAGCTTCTCCCTGGGCTTTGGTGGCGCTGGTTTGGGCTTGTTTTCTCTTTATTCTAAGCTGGACTTCATAAAGGGGCCTTGGGTACCTGGTTTCCTTTGTCAGCCATGCCTTTAATTATAGGAATGCACACTCACTGAGCTGGCGGTGTGCTATCTGGGGTGTGAGGATCGAGCTCAGAGGTTGCCTTGCTGTGGCAAAAACCAAAGCATTGTGATGTGGCTTGAACAAGATCTGAGACCGTTTTATAAATGCTGCCTCGGTCTCCTTCCCCATCGGTAACCTGGCCCTGACGCCCCACCAACCCCCCCACCCCGCACGCTGCAGGTCTCGGGAGAACATGCCGACTTGGCCATGCTGTGAGGGGCGATACCAGCCCATAGATGTTTCTCAGGTTCCTTCAGTGCAAACTGAAATTAGCTAGAGACTCACCGGGGAGGGGGGCGGGGGCGGGCAGGTCTCCTGGGAGACAGCAGACACCTGCAAATCGACTAGACAAATTCCTGGGATTAAAATAAATTAGTTAATCGGTTCCTTTGACTAACTGTTGCTGGGTGGGCATCTTCTATTTGTCAGGCCTGGGCTGGGTCCTGGGGAGACAGGCTTCTCCTTGAACTTGGGTGTGGGGCTGGGCAGTGAGTCAAGAACAGAGTAATTACAATGGGATTTTAAGAGAGGGGCTGTTAATCCCCAGGAGCTAGGGACACAACCCAAGGGAAAGCCTGCCTTCCCATCCTGAGCTGCCCCTCCTGCCAGTTCCCCTGACAGAGCCTACCCACGCCCCGTCTGCCCTCCCGGCTCCTGGTTCCAAGCAAGACACAACTTGGCTAGGGAAGCAGGAACCCTGGTCCCTCCTCCAGGAAGGCCTCTGCTCTCCCACTGCAGGCTGGTGCCCCACAGCCCTTGCTATTGCACCTTTCTCCCCAGCTGTGACCTCCTCAGATCAGCGACAGCATCTGGGTCCCCGCATCACCCAGCACAGAGCCTGCACTGACTACCTGTCAGTGAACCCATGACTGGTGAATGACCCCTTGAATGAGTGCATTAAAAAATGAAGCAGAATCTACTGGGGAAAGGAAGAAACAAATCTACAGTGGGTAGGCCATTGATAGAAGAGAGGAGGAGACCAAGAGAAGAGATGGATGAAGATATAGCAGCAACAACTTGTTAACAATTGGTGTGTTTACTAAGCACGTCGTACGTGCTGCCATGATACAGGGGGAAGAGCATCGGGAGTGGGTGTTTGGGGACCCTCGCCCCCAGCAGACACCCACAGGGCTGTGGGGACCTGACAACTGGGCCAATAGCCCTCGCGTCTAGGACCCTCTGGTCCACCTGACCCCCTGTAGTCGTGAGTCAGGCAAACCCAGGCCTTGGGACCATGGACTGAGCACAGGCCACACCAACCTGGCCGCTGTCTTCAGGAGGCCCTGGCAGGCCGAGGAAAGCGTGGAGCTCCCGGGCCAGTGGGCCCAACAAAGGCAGCCTGCTGGAAGCTGAGCGGGACCCAGAGAGGCCGCTGGGGGGACAATCCGACCCAGGACCCTCCTTCAAGCCCCTCTCTCCTTC